CATTTTCGAATCATTGGTTCAAGTCCGAGTTCGAGTAACGAATCACTTAGTTCAAGTCTGACTATACGAGTCTTGAGTCACTTGGGTCGAGTTCAATTCTGAGTCTCGAGTCACTCGGTTCAAGTCTGAGTCCAAGTAAGGGTTTCGTTGTGTAAGTCCGAATCCAAGGTAAGGGCGATGTGGTTCAAGTCTGTGTGCGAGCAACGAGTCAGTTGGGTAGATTTTAAAATGGAATTTCTAGAAGGATTATTTGGTTCAAGTCCGAGTAGAAGTCTCAAGACGTACGAGTTATGAGGCATTTGTCAACAATGCATTAAGGAGGTACATGCACTGTACGCATACTTTTAATGTAAGCAATATGTTGGCCTGAGTGATGTTCTGGCTGGTTGTGAACATTTCATATCAACAACTAAAAAAGGGCTCAGTTAACAATAATACGTTGGAGTTTGGCAAAAGCATTTTCAGTTCAAGAAACAAAGTATCAACAATTTTGATAAAGGTTGATGCTCATTTTCATTGAAAAAGAGGGACTGGGGCAAGGATGGGTTAAATGTGAAGACAAAAATACAACGATGAACATAGGCTGACTGGGTCAGGGTGAAGTTGATTGTCTCGACACAAAAAGACACAACTGTTGAGGTCAGCAGAATAGTCCGATAGAGCCTTTCTACTGAAAGCCCTTAAGCAAAAACAATGAATAGCTCGTCAGCAAAACTTGACGCTATACAGGGTGTTTAAAAAAAAGGAAACCCAACTTCAAAGAATGAGTATGGACAGACGATATGTTAAATGGCTATAAAACTGAAATCATCTGAAAGCGTAATCTCTATGCTTTTCAATGATACCGTGTTAAGGTTTTCTGAGTCATGCATCACTGAGCATCATTGTCTTGAAAACTGGATGCAAAAATGCAGTCGGTTCACTTTCATAAAAAAAAAAACACACAACACACACACCACTGGGCACGGTGTGCCTATTGTTAAGGAAATGTCTGTGAAATGGCTTGAATGTTAATTCTCGGGAAAATGGCGCACTGTTTTGAACGTGGCTTGGTCAAAACGAGAAATTAATGACAAACAATAAAATCCAGTTTTGAAACCAACCCGACTTGTTTTTTGGTTTCTTTTTATGCACTCGTGTCTTCTTCTTGGATACTTATTCTCATGCACACCATGCCTATTGTGTTTGACATGAAAGTGAACCAACTGCAATTTTGCATCAAAATCTCATGACAGTGCCGCTCAGTGATGCATGACCCTGGAAATGTAAACAAGGTTTCATTGAAAAGCATAGAGATTACACTTTCAGATGAGACCAGTTATATGGCCAGTAAACATTTAGTCTGTCCATACTGGTTCTTCAAAGTTGGGTTTCCTTATTATTGAAACACCCTGTATGCTTTGGTATGCCGAGACTTCTAGTAGAATCCGAGGAAGACTCCAGTCTCAACCTCTTCCATTGTTCAAGATATAGGCGTTAGTATGTTTTTATTCACAACACTTTACATTCCATAAAAAACGCACCTGTCAATTAGTTACCTTTTCTAATATAATGTATTTTTTTTTCCTTTAGTGATAATATGGCGGAAGATTTTGTTCATGAAGATTGGTGATCTAGACCCTATCAATAGACCAAAGATCGGAGACTGGTAGGGCTACGTGGCTAAACAAAAAAATATATAAAGAATAAATATCCATGAAGGTTGTCGTACCATAGCAACAACATTGTTGATGCTGGGGCACGTTACACTAACCATACAACGAAGAGCGAAACTGATTGAACCTTGATATTTACAAATCCACGTACATAAGGATAGGGGACCTGTTTTTGTTTTCAACCACCACCATGTCAAAAGGTTTTCGTGGAGACATTCTTTATAAAAGACTGCAAATGAGAAACGGCAAATGTTCTTTTTTCGGGATGTACACTGTAAAAATGTTGAACAAAATATTTGTTGGGCAAACTATAACCAACGCGATATGTATAGGGAATTTAGCCCTATAGTTGAACGTGTTAACTATTTGCCCATCGTTGGTCAAATATTCTACCCATTTTGCCATTTATTTATTTATTTATTTATTTCTTATTTATCCTGGGTGATCCATTCAGTGAGAAAAACTCACTGATCTCCCATGGATCCCAGCTCACACAAAACCACTATTAAAATACAATTAAAATATGTAAGAATGTAAGAATGTTAAAAAAAAATCATTCAAATAGACTTAAATACAATAGGAATTACACAGATGATAAACAGACGTTTACAATACAATACAAAACATCACTGCAAGATGACATCCCCCACACCTGTTTTTTTCTTCCTTTTTTTCCCCCACTTATTTTCTTTTTTTAACTGAGCTGTTTGAGATGATTGACGAAGTGATTAAGACTTGCTGGATGCGGACATTTCAAATATTGCGGCAAGTTATTCCAAGCCTGGGCACCCCTGAAGTTTTACAGTATATTGACCTTCATAAAGCTGGGACTTTTCACAGATCACATCACAAACCTAAATAATTGTCATACCATGATTTTGATCCTAGCATTAGGTATGTCAGATTGCAAACTTTTTTTCGTAAAGTTAAGATTGCCTTACACCCTCGGTAAATCATTTTATCCCAGAGCCTCGTAAGGTTGTTTGATGTTGAAAATGGCAGCCTGGTCAGATCACTGATATCTATGTTTAAAAATCAGGTAGCTCATTGCCTGGTCAAATTGACACCCCGGCCCGCCTTCTTACCTTTATTATAATTAACAGTACAATTGTAAACACATCCATCCTAATAGAACCGCAATCTGTACTCACTCATTAACTGCATCGACTTTTTTTTTAAAATAATATAAATATATGTGTCACTTAAACATCAAATTCTACGAAAATTGCTGTACGTGCCTCAGTTATTTTACATTTTATTTTAAATGTTAATTGGAGTGGATATCCTGCGTGGTAGCATCAAATCATCACCAACACCACGAAGTAACACCCATTTACATACCAGTAAAAACTAGCAATCGGAGAAAACGGCAACTAAAGTTGAACGCCTTCTAAAACAACACTTTGCGTCAAAACGACAGAGTTTTTTTTCAGTTGGGTTTCTCGTTGTGGACACTTGATGAATTGAATTTATTAAATCTGCTGTTTTTCACCCGTTTGTTTATTAAATAAACAAGAAATAAGAGAAAAAAAGATGAGTGTTAGTTCGTGAAACCGAAAAAGCTGCGAAACTGTACATTTTCGTTTTCACGAAGTAACACTCTTTAATGTATACAACACGAGGAAAGTAAAACTTCAGGTCAGCGCGCACGCGCTCATACAAGTTATTACAAGAAGAGTGTTACTTCATGAAAACGTTTTTTTGCTCACTTATGAGCAGAGTGCGCGCCATGCATTGCAATGGTAAATAAAACTTGAGTGTTACTTCGTGAAAACGAAAATTGTCACTTTTGCGCAAAAGTTGCCATAGATACTTAGCGTAATCATTAAAGTAAAGCTCTTGAAGCTTTGAAACTTCGTGCAATGATAGGCCTTGATGAATAATGTTTGGATAAATAAATCAAAAAAACGGAAAATCGAAAAAAAATATGGTTTAACACGGTAGAGTGTTACTTCGTGGTGTCGGTGACGAAATGTGTGTACAGCGCGCAGCGGCCAATGTGCTATCCATTGTTTTGTTTTGTTTTTGTTTTTCGGTTATTTTTTTTTGTACACGGAGATCAGTGAGCCAGATTCACATTAATTCTCAACATTCTAATCTGGGTCAGGCATCAGACCTGAAGGTTACGACTATCTAAGGTCGGGTAGCCGGAAATACGTCGTGATTTCTACGGAAGATAACTGTGTTCCTTGGCATTTCTATAAACGCGCTGGACAGACAAACTGCAATATTTCTGGTGGATGTGAAACACCACTAATAATGTGACATAATAAGTAGAAAACAGTTTACAGAAAAAAACAAGGTACTAACGATCTTGTACTTGTACATCACGTGGTTGAACGCACTTTAAATTTTACGGAATTGCCCTTCTGCCAAACTTCGAGCAAAACCACTTCCAAAAACCTGAACTATTCATGGCAAAACAATTTGATAATTTGAAAAGTGTCATTTTACATACGTAAACAATATCAACATTGGTAGAATTAGGCACATTTATGTCGGGAAGTTGAGAACTAAAGTGAGAAATTAGTCTTCTGTTTTTCCAGTGATTGATAATGTTAAATCCTTTCCGGAGCCACAAGGGAATAATGACAACTACATTTCCATGTTATATAATGTCCCAGCCCCGTGATGGTAGGCATGTCCGAGAACATTTATCACTAGATCCTAGTTTGGACCATGGTACTTCAACCAGAGGGGGTGTCACTTGTCAGGCCTTAGTAGCTTGGTCAAAATAGAGGCGGGAATGCTACTGGGCTTGTGCACATTTACATACGCTCGTATTCAATTGCCCCTGTTCATTATGGATTGCCATGGATCGCCTCTGCTGACAAAATGAAAGAGTCTTGATCTTCAAAGGGCAATTATGTGGTTTTAATGGCTATTTGGGGCCGGAAGGATACCATAAATGAATGGACTGCGGTTAGTTGGCGTTTGAGGGCAGGGTGGCTCAATTACATGGCAGTAGGAAACAAAACCGAGCAAGGGTCAGATATGTGTAAATTTAAGGGAGCGGCTCCGCGTACGTTTAATTCCTCTTTCAATTAACACATTATGACTGAAAGTGGACGCCGACCTCAAAGTTATCATTCAGATATCAACAGTTTTAAATTTCACAACAATTAATTACCTACGAGTTTTCAGTCGTCCAAATTGCATAATACAGCAGGCACTATTTTTTTTTTTTTTTTTTTTTTTTTTTTAAACTTTCGGCCAACACGTACTGTAACATAACACCCAAGCCATGCATGCATATATCACAATAAACAAAACAATGCTTTTTGTTCTCTCGGGTTGTAGACACCAATAATTGAAAAAAAAAAAAACAAATGAAAGCCGGACAAAACAAATTGAGAAAGATGGCAGCTTTGCGCGTTTACATGTATTTTGAAAACGGTGAATCGTTTGGGACAAACCAAAGATAATTAGACTAGTTAACAGTTATTTTTTTCTGTACAGTGGAATCTACAAGAACCTCCACCTTTCCAGTATTTTGATTAAATAAGTAACACACGTGTATTTCAAAGAAATTTCAGCTCATTAATAATTGTTTTTATCATCCTTGGACCAATTTTTATTTTAATGTCATAATTGTCTTACATGGTGCCGAAGTGATCAAGGTAACAAATATATTTAAACGGTGTCTACAAGTGTGATATGGTCATCAGTTGGCCGCTGTCGATTTGCGTCTTCTGCTCATCTGGTTCCAGGCTGGCATTGTTTCTGAGTCGGCCGATCAGATTCTCTATGGCCTTGTTGTCGAGTTCGACACCGATGTCGGCCGAACTTTCTCGCAGTTTGCTGGTGGGCGCATCTACTCCCAGGATGCTCTGCGGAAGCTGCAGATAAGCCCTCTGCTGACCATTTGAATCCTATCGCGAAGAAATAACAAACGGATGAAAATTGCTGGTACAAACTCCCTACATTATGTTGACACTAAATCATGCAACATTCGGATGCTCAATTCGTTTTAATATTAATACCCACAATCACCAAGATAACTAGAAGTTTTACACACTTTCGTTTTGTTCACAAAAGCAATCACTATGAATTGCTCGTGTGTTATCATTTCTCAAGTATTGGGTTACACTAAAGACGTGTTTCATTCAACTTCAGATGAATTTTGTTTTGGGATGTTACGTAAGTTATGATAACAATGCGCCTCTCACCTTGTCCAAAAGAATGCTGTCCTCGTTCAGATGGATGCCCGAGATGCCGTTGTCGTGTAGCCAGGACAAGGCCGCCGTGACGTCATCCACGACACAGGTCACGTCGTGCTCAGTCAGGCTCCAGTTTCGCGAACCAGCGTCTTGGTTTGAGGCACAGATGTTGCCATTTGGGGAACCCCCGGGAGGCGAGCAGAGATGGGAGGGCTCCTTGCGAACCACGGGCAGGATCCGGTGTTGCTCAAGCTGCGACAACACGATCTTCAGCATCGGCTGCAGCTCTGGATAAAACGAAACCAAAGAGCTGTAAAACCTACAAGTAAGCTACAGTCCACCATTTGCAGCTACCAAAAAAATAACTGACGTAATTATTGTTGAAAAAGACATACTTGGTTCTAAGATAGTAAAGGGACTAGACTTCCAGTGATTTATTCTTTCTTGCAAGCTGTCATTTTGAAGTAATCAACGTAAGAGGGTCTTTCCAACGGTGCGTCTGAAGACGCACAGTTGGAAATGTCCGTTAGTAGTTCAGGTTTTTTATATTCGGCGAAGCGCGCGCAAGCATTGGCACGACGCACACACGAATGTTGTTCTTCTCGAAATATACAGCTGAAGCTGATCTGAAACTTCATCAGGTTAGTTGTTCAGCACTTTTCTTTAGATTTTGAGCACTTTTGTTGCTTCAAACGACCAAATGCACAAATTATAAATGATGGACTATACCTTTAAGTCATTACATGTGTATACCTTAGGGGTCAACTTTGTCTTTGTCCTTGTTTTTTTTTTTTTTACCATATATGGGTTTATAATTTTCATGTACATCAAGTTGAACCTGTGACCATCAAAATGTTGAACTGCAAGTCAATTTCAGATTTAGCTGGGTATAATTTATAACATCCCTCGTGCTGTAGATACGATATCGCCGTGTCAGGTGTGAATTAGGGGTGAAAAGAGCAACCATCCCTTTGTAATTGCAATTCCCCTGAATAGTTCGTCACTTTAAAACTTAAAGAATGCGACTCACTTTGGGTGACGTGTAATGACTTATGACGAATTGGTCTTGCATCAATTGTGGTTTGTGCTTACCGAAATCAGCGGACTGGCTGTCATTAAAGCCATCAATTCCAAGCGCTGAACTCCGCGTTCTGTTCACTGGGGACGGCGAGTAGCCCTGATTAAGCGTTCTTGCGTTTGCATTTCCTAAAATACGTATGTTTAAATGTTAAATTTACTGTTGTCGAAAGCCGTCATATTTGTTTTCAACACGTCAATATGTCAATAACGTTAGTATTACTTAATACTATGAACGGGCGATACATTTCGGTAATCGCGTCTGCCTTACGGCAACACGCCTTTTGGGGGCAACACATTGGTGTCACACTTTTGTTAAAACGACACTTAGGAGAAGGGAATTTTGTTCCGTTAACCAAAACTCACAAATGGACAAATCGTTTCAGGATAAAAATCAAAATACGGCGTGGAGCATGGGTCGTAAACTTTATTCATAAATACCTCAGACAGTTTAGCTATTCCTATTGGTCGAGAGCCCGTCACGTGGCCGGTCTTAAACGGATGATAAAGACATGGCTAGCTGGTCTTAAACACTTTTCCAGTGTCACAACAAAATGGGGACTCCTAAAAATCCAGTGCCTCTTACCGTTTCATTGGTTGAACGTTCACAATCGAATCCTCACGTGGGCATGCGCAACACTACATGCGAGTCAGAATTTTATAGTTCTAAATTCAAAACGCAACGCCCCAGGTGCGTTCTGCGTGACATCGCGCAGAACATGCTACGCGCGCCTCAATCTCCATAAAAGGGTTGTTTACATCTTAATCGCCAGCAGAACACTCCATGATTTTGCTAGAGGGATGTTTCAAAAAGCATGAAGTGAATTGGGATTTTTTAACGAATTATTTGATATTTTTTAAGGATAAGGTATTTACCTCCGGCTCGGGTAATTATCAGCACCCAGGCTTTAAGCGGTATTAAACAGAGTGATAAAAACCTCTCGAGCACACATTTATTCCCTTAATTAAACATGAGTTAAAATGTCATCTTTCAGAGAAAAAAGAAGCGCCCTCTCGTGATGCAAGAGAGGTTCAAGATTTCCTCACCTTAGGACAGCCCCCCAAAATGTTCATGTATGCTGATGTAGTATGTGAAATATTTTCTTAATATTACACTGTGGTTGTGGCACATTTCTGCAGAGCTGCTTTCGTTCTTGACACTTTTAACATTGTAATTTGGAAGGTGTAAAGAAGATGAAGATTTCATTTTAAAAGCAACGGCAACAGTGTATCACGTGTGCACCAAGGTCCAATGCGCCTTCTTCAAGAGTCGGCCATATTAAATCGAAAGGGAGGTAAACTCTTCATGTTTGGAACTTGCGACGAGAAATGAAAACTATGACCTAAAGTTAATTACAAATTAATACCAGACGGCTCTAATGAATAATTTAAATTTGTGATTAAACATATCCTAATATTTTAAACTACATTTAAACAGAAATTGAAAGTGAGGCCAGAATGCTTAAATAGTCTGGCACCATCCCATTCAACAGTGCAAAATTTATCAACTACATTCAGGCAACATGAGCAAAATGGCTCCCTTGTGAATACTGTCCATGAGCATCTTCTTACCCGAAGGGTGAAGACATTTTCGAGATCATGCGCATTGGTTCTTCGCGTGGTCGCCGAACGGATGTATTTAATTCTGTATAACCATACTGCCGGCTGCCAGCCACAATGAACATTGATAAAGGGGATCTTGAGAAACCTGGCGCGCATTAGTGCTCCAATTGTTAATGCTGAAGGCCAAGTTTGCATTGAAACACTTGATTTTTAACGTTATGACGGAGTACGAATCTCGTCCGTTCAATTGCAGAGCATTTTGTCTCACCTGGACTTTGCTTAGGAAAGAGACTATGCAATCACTGTGTCTGTCTATGTATGTAGTATGTATGTTTTATTTTGGTTAAACGTTCGTAAAATTGGTCTCATTAACAAAGTAGAAGTGCATCTGGAGCCAAATTTGAATCATAGATGCAACATAGGAACCTTCATATGATAATGATGTCAAAGGTTACACACCAAGGTCAAAGGTCACTCTTTAAAGATAATCGTAAAAGCAGGCGAGGCGCGCGTTTGGAGAACCGCCTTGTTTTCACAGCTTTAATTCTCATCCCAAGTTTCATTCTTATCCCCAGGATTTTGCACTTGCAGACTGCTTCGAGAATCTCCTTTGTCACAAATTACCAAACTACATTAACTTAGATAATTTACCTTTCTTTGCAGTTGTGCACGGCACACCACCCCTACGACCGGTAGAAGTCTTTGCTTCGTCGCAGTCTGGTCGCAGTTCTCCCGTTCAGGAGTCCCAGTCCAACCTGAGCCATAGCGCTATAAACGCACCCCCAGTAAACGTCGCATCAGGAGGCCCCATGAAGACAGTCGGCAAATCGATTCCCGTCGCCCCTACGAAGGTCACCGTGAAACCCGGACCTCAAACACTGGAGTATGAGATGGTGATCTCTCACTACAACGAGCCTCTTGATTGGTTGAGACCGTATGCAGATCACAGTCACGTGTACCACAAGGGCTCGGATAGAGGTCCTCCCTTCGCGATGTACAAATGGGAGAGGATACCAAACGTTGGGCGAGAGCCTCACACCTACTTACACCACATCATAAATAATTACGACCATCTCGCCGATTTGACTGTTTTTATGCAAGGACATGGTACCAGCAAAGACCAAAGCTGGTGTTATACTCCCATGGAGTTCGTCACGAACGCAAAGAGCAACATCTTCTGCAAAAATCGGGGCACTTTCCACGGCTGGGGCCGCATAAACCACTTCGGCAAGTGGTTGGCAGAATTGAGCAGTGGCCAAATGCGACGAGCGAAGACGACAGTGGGTGAATTCTACACGGCTCTGTTTGGTACCCAACCTCCTCCCTCAGTGCCCCGGTGTTTGGCGGGTTGTTTCTCTGCCACAAGGGGAAAATCTGAGACGGCACCCGCTGAGTTTTTACCAGAAGGCCATCACGTTTGTTAATGACCACAGCAACCCAGAAGAGGCTCATTATTTTGAACGACTTTGGGGTGCCATCATAAATGCTAAATAGGACGTCATACTGGCCTTTTGCAGTACAGTTTAGTGTAAATTATTCCTTAATTGATGACAGTACAATACGGAAGACAACTCATTATGAACTTGCGTTTTTTTTGGTTTTTTTTTTTAAGTTTCTTTGCTTCAACGCACATGCGTAGAACATTATAATTTGACTCATGCATTATGTATGGCCTTCCTCATAACAGCTTCATAAAAAGGAGATACGAGCAACTAATTGGCTGAAGCACGCATACGTATAAAGTCACGTGACTGAGTTCAGTATGCTATCTTTTCGGTAACCGCTCGAGCCAAAAATGAAGGGGAAAATGAAGAGCGATTGCTAAATAATTTGGTTATTTTCTGGAAATACATATATTTGATATGACGGATTTGTGGATGAGATGATATTTCTAATTAAAACATATTTGTTTGCTGTTCCTGATCTTGGATATTATGTATATCTTGGACATTATCCTCACAAATACGAAGACTTTATCCTCACAAAGACTTCTTAAAAAAGGGACGTTGTTTTCAATGTTTGGCTTTTAGTAATTGACAATAAATATTTGCAATTTGACTTTACGGTACGTTTTCGACTGCGCTAACGTGGCAATACCACATGTATAAAAGCGTTTCCTTTGTTAAATGATATTCGATTAAATAATAAAAAAAAGTACTTTTTTGCAATAAATATTGAAACAAACTTATTTCAATCCAGCGTACGTACTATTATTTTGTAAATATGCTAACCTGTTGGGCAATCGATGGGGAGGGTTAAAATTTGGCGAGTGGAGAGATAAATGTTTTCAAATATATTGCTTGGGAAAAAGTCAGAGGGTACCGGTGCAGTTTTATTCATTTTGTTATTTATTTTATTTTTTATTTTAATTTACGATGGGTTGGCTTGGATGGGAGGGGGATTACCCCATTTAATCCCAGGCGATACTGATGAAGGGAATGCTTTACTTTGCTGAAACAAAATCTTCCTTGCAAATCGCACGAGACTGTTATATGAAAGGAACGTGTATGAAAGGACAATAATAAAAAAAAACCCGTAAAACCGGCAGTGGAAATTCAAACAACGGGGCCGGGGAAGGGGGAGGGGGAGGGGGAGGGGGAATGGGGAGGAAGCTCTGGACACCACCTTACACTTAGTCTTGTTCGAAATACAGATGAAAATCACATGGTACTTACTTGGTTCTTGGTTGTTTCCTCCTGAGACATCCTCTAGGGATCTTGACTAGGAGGTCGCGGGGAGGTGTCGGCATCTAGGTCTCGGTCACGATGTGGTTGTAGTAATTCTCTCTGAAGGTCTTGTGCGTCACAGAGTCAGTGATGTGTTGGGGCAGTTTACTCGCGCTTGCATCAAAACAGCGTATTTTAAGCTTTTGTATTTTTCCCACCATTTTTCAGTGTCATTGAATACATTGTGGTTGTTGGGACGTTCGAAAAGTACCTCGAGATCTGCAATTTTTTGGTTTCTCATCATCACAAAAAAGTGTGCGTCTCTGTATGTATGTATCTGGGGGGGGGGGTGAGGTGGGAGATGATTCAATAACCCACCTCTGGTCAAAAAATGGGAGGGGGTATAATATAATATATACCCACCCCACTACCAGGGTTTACGCCCATGATTATGTTCTGAACAATGGCGGAGGGGAAAATAGCGGATGGGATTGAATATTTTCATGCCGCCCTCAAAGTCTGCAATATCTGAATATAATAGGAGGTATATCTTAGCGCAAGAGGGTGCTGTATCGTAAACTTTTTGGAGATATAACCACACTTAAATCCTACAATCATGGCCAAAACTCGCTGGGCCCCCACCCCCGGCCCCCGGCCTTTGTTGGCTCTCATTGCGCGGTCTGCTCAAGCGCGAGATGACAACATTGACCGGGGGAGCAGGAGACCGGGCACGAAATATTTTTTTTTCTAAAACGAGATCCGACAATATTGACAGAGGGCGCTCTCTCTGCGTTATGCATTATGATGTCAAGGGCCTAATTTCACGGCGCTGCTTAACAGTTAGCAGAAACGTTGTGCTTAGCATAGCAAAAAAAAGTGCTAACCTTAAGCACTATTTCACGTCGTGGATGTGCTAACGGTCGCGCGTGCATGGAGATGTTTATTGTTGTGGCGCTCTTGTGTTATACAACATGTGCCAGACGTGGCGCTCTTATATAATTTCAGGTATGACGTTCTTATAATACAAATTCTTGTAATGCCCTTCTAATCTTGTGTGGCTTTATAATACGCCTGTATTCATTGTTCGTTGCTCTTGGCTCCAAGGTGTTGGCTTCGTAATGACGTTTTGTACCATAGTGATATAAAATTATTTGGAAGCAGTGTTTAAGTTTCCTGTGTTTGGATTTCAGTTGTCCAATATCTGTTTTTGAGCCTCTATACATTCCTAATCCGCTACATCACAAATCCCATGAGACTGTTGTTACGTCACTTAGTTAAGACAATTTTTCCTCTGAAGTAAGCGACGTGCCTTTTGCTGTGTTTATGCTTGCGATCTCCATGAAATAGATGGAGGCTCTGTTAGCAGAACATCGTGTGCTTAGTAGCGCCGTGAAATTGGGCCAAGGGCTTTAGAGAATAAGTTATACAACAAGGAATAATGGTGTTTAAATCACCGACGATTGGCAGCTGATTTTTGGACTGGTTGAAAGTAGTCCTGACTTTTCAGGTGATTCAAGCGTTTTTCACTTCTTCTCATTTTACTTTAAATAACTAAAGCGAGGAAGGAATATTTCTCACAAGACGCAAAGCCTATATTGGGTCTGTGTTATGGAGAACAAGGCATTAGATATGCATGTAATGGACCAATCAGAAGAAGATGGGAATCGGATGTCGTTTGGGAGAAAACATCGCGACCGGGGGAGGGTATATGCTCTAGTCTTGTGTGGACGTGTTCCAACCATTTTGACCAAAATTGTCTAAATGCATGTACCCTGGATAACATGTGTAGAGGGAGGGTGTGGACCGGGTGAGCCGGGCACGGGGGACGGGTATGCATATTGTGACGAGTCCCAACCATTTTGGCCGGGATTATAGCTGAATTATTGACCCAATTATATATATATATATATATATATATATATATATATATATATATATATATATATATATATATATATATATATATATATATATATATATAAAAAAATAAAATATAAAAAATCCGTTCCCGTAAGTGACATTTATAATTTTTATATCGAAGTGAAGTTGCTATATTGCGTTAATACAACTTAACTTTGCAAAAAGATTTGCAATCTCACACACATAATCTTACGAACGGTCAACTATTCAAGAACCTTTACATTTTTGCAAAGATTGTAACTTCTAAAGCATCAGAATGTAAAACAATACTTTCTTCATTTTCGAACGTTTATTGTGCAAAGCAAAATCAAAACGAACCTTTCGAGTCTAAACTGAATCGAGCGTTGAATACAATTTAATAACCTTAGCCAATACCTATCGACGCAATATAGTCTTTAAAATATCAAGCACACAAGAACAAAAAACGCGAAAGCAAAACGGTTCAAAACTGCAAGCAAAACCGAGCATAGTCGAACATAAATGAAATAATACTTAAACATAAACTCAAAGTAATTAATTATGAACTAACAATCATGTATATTTAAGTCTGATCAGAGCTCAGTCTGATTACAGCCAAAGAGCTAGAACGATGTTCCAATTGTATTACTTCATTGATTTTCATTGCAATCATTCGGATCATCTCTAAAAACAAATCTTTCACCAACTGTTTTTCAGTTTGACTAATTTATGTTACAAATATACTAAACATACACGTTTTCAATTTGCTGCTTTTTATATTCTGATTATAGTATTATAACGGGAAACGGTACCTTGGGACACATTCGATAGACTAGTGCACGTTTTTGTTTCCAAATTTAACGACTAATTAACTCAATTTGCTCTACCAAGTTTTGGTAATCACGAGTGGACCACAAGCAATCCTTTTTTTGGCGACATTACCATTCTGCCACTAAAAGGGAGTTGTGACTCCAGGAGGACATTGCTTTTCGTGTCCAGTGTAGGGTGTGTCCCTAAGGTATAGCGTAAGACGAACGTAAAGAAATGTTTACCGAAGGGTACAGTAACATAAATTAACATAACCCAATAACACAGCGTAAATATCAAACGAAATAGTTAGGCAAACGTAGCAATAAAGCAATAACCATTCTCTAAACCAAATTACTACGGCTAAAATGATTAAATGACCAAGTTAAACCCTTCAACGAAACATCCCCTCCACCCACCAATCAATCCAGCTCGAGATTTAACCCTCATCTCACCTTATAGGAGTTATAACAATGAGGTGCAGAAAGAGTTATCTATAGTTGTTGCATAGAGAAATGACACGTATGTCCTTTTTCTATTAATTGCTCTAGGGTTCCTAATGAAACCTTCCTTTACGCTTCCCATGAAACAATTATTAAAGAAAGTGATCAACATTGTTGGTGACTGTTGAACTCGAATACGTCAAGATTGTTGTGTATATTGTTGAAAACCTGATTTTTGTATACTATTATTAATTTATGTTCGAAAATATCCAACAAAGGTGAAATTGATTTACATGGGAAAGTTATAAATTCAGTGACGAATGTTCACATTGCAAGTTCAACTAATGATACCATTAAAACAAAATTAAAATAGAACATAAAACGTACGGCAGGAGGAAAATAAAATGAAAGCAACTTTGAAAGTTATTGTTCCAAAATATTTTGGATATCTCAACAAATATCAATTTAAGCACACAAGCACGAAATCCATAGCAGAAAAGTGGAAAAGCAAAAAACACACAAAAACAGCCCCTGTATTATGATAAGGATAATCATCAATATAAAATAACCAAAAAAAAAGAAGATAAACCAAAACATAAAGCCAGAAGTTACAGTTGTCAAATATCAATGAATTGTATGTAAGTATAATGTTTTTAAATTAATCATTAATTTATTGAAATAAATGTTTGTATGAATTAATGAATGAATGAACGCAATCCGTAATGGACAAAAATGGGTTAATTATTTTCAACACACCTTTCAACCCGTCAATTCCTCTTACCACGTTTATTAAGCACACAAAGCGTGAAAGGCTACCAAAATACAATTTGAAGTCAAATGAGGTTGTGAAGTGTGAAACAAACAACTTAATATTACTTAGACTGCGCCAATTAAAACAAACTCTCAGAACTCCATTGTTTTTAAATTCAATGAAATCACATAAAATCACATTATATTACAGATTATACAGTAGTCCCCTTGAAAAGATGTAATTTAGAACAGTGTTTGAGAAGAGAGACGAAATAATCTTTGCTAAATGTGATACATCTTGCTATAATAACGTAACCATATTTCCAAACAACAAAGATGTATTAAATTTCTCAAATATTAGAAGTCCCTTCATAAACTCAAATCAACGAAACTAAATCAGGATGAAAATACCTTTAATTAGAGCTTTTCAAAATCAGTGCTTCTCATTGATCATATTAAATATTTCCCGATTAAACACATCGGTAACTAATTTTGAAACCCAATTAAAAACAAATCTCATTTCATCAATCAACGAGTTACACGTTGTACATGTGCATTGTGAGCAAAAAACCTGTAAACAAACTCGCTGTAATTACGTAAATACAATTTCGGGATCTTTTAAGCTAAACGGTCTAAGCCTGCCAAAGCAAAATTCAAACACGATACAAACAACGATTTCTTAAAATCTACTACGAACGAAAGAAGGGAAACCACTACCCCAATCGTTATTCAATTAAAAATAATTATGGTTAAATGCAATAACTACTAATGAAATAACTAAACAGTCAAAGTATTCAGCAGCATTTAAAACGACTGATTCATTAACACCACTAATATTAAATTTTAAATGTTAATAAGCAATAAAGAACACATAAGAAATTAAGCAAATTCATCAGACTTTGAAAAGGTCATGCAAGCAAAGCAGTAAAGCATACATCGTCTTAACGTAGAAGAGCAGCTAGATCAAAAAAAAAAAACATTCAGAAGAAACAGCGCTGGGGAATATTGACGAATAAATCGCATTATAATAAATATGTTCTATGTGTCAACAACCCAAGTACTAGATTACTTGGCAGAAAATAGAGCGGTAAGCCACAGGACACAACCAATTGTAATATCCGCAGACTTAACCGAGATACAGATCTTTAGACTTGGAGAATAAGATGACGCACGATTTCGACCCATCTGGACAGACAACATGCCACTGAACATAAACATTATGCGACTATGCAGGCACAGACTTGTTTATTGACAATCCATTATTGTATATAATAGAAGGAAATAGCTCGTGATAGTTTTCTCAGTCGCCACCAAGTTTTTTTTTTTCAGTAGAGAAACATTTCACACTAACATGAGTTTTGTGTATCATTGCCTCTTGATGACTTTTTCGAACTACCCGAGACATCCAATCAGGACAAATGCCATCAAGAATGCGTGTCTTCATTAATGTAGCTCATATATGATGTCATGGTGTTTCGTATTTCTTTTACTCTGTGAAATTACCGAAAACAACCATATCCCCAGGCACGAATGCCTCCTTCAGGTCAATGACGTTCTTTGCCGGGAACAAGATGTTCTTCAGAGCAAAGATGGAGATGCTGGGGAAAGGCCTGTTGAAAACTGCTTTCATTTGGGGAATCAAGTTGTTCCTGAGGGTTGTTAGGAAACGACTTTGCAGTTCACTGTCGTCACACCCACAGGCGCCAGAAGGTGGTTCAAAATTACCGTCGACCTTCACATTGGAGGATGTTGATTCCACCTTCAATGACTGGTCCTGACCTGTTCCCGTCACAGCGAAGGGAAGAGTGCTGTCCATGTTGATATCAACAGTCGTCGAGTATGGCTTGTACACAACCTTATGCCAGTCACCACAGCCGTAAACGTCACATAGCTTGTCCCTTGATCCGTATTCGAAATCGTAGGGTGAATCCGTGACCTGGAACTTTGACTTCACAGTCCAGCCGTTGACAGCGGAATCCCCAAACTTGAATGCCATCCCGGTGAGGTCAACATGGACACGGTCGCCCGGGACCTTGACATAATACTCGTAGTAGAAAGTTCCATAATCTGTCCAATGGGAATCCTCACCAACTTTTGTCGGTGGGTAAGGAGCCGACACTGTACCAGAAGTCGCTGTAGTAGACCAGACTTTATCCTTGTTGGGATCATCGCCTGGTGAATTTGCTTTCAGAATCAGACCTATCCCACCATCTCCGAGAGAGGCTGGCAGCACATCTTTGTAGAAGATCTGAGTGTTGATGATCAGTGAGCTTTGGTAGCTACTTGGTATCGGCTCTTGTAAGTACAGACCCGTGGACTGAAGTTCCCCCGTGGTAGCAATGAAAAGCTGCAAGAGATCACGATCACTGGGAGTTTGGTAGGTGTTGATGATGAAATTTTTCGGTTTCAAGGACTCAATGGTTGATACCCCCGTGTAGTCTATAGTACCGAATTTATAGACTTCGTAGCCATCCTGCAAGCCTGTAAAGTAGTTGGTCAAAGTGGCGTTCATATTAGGATTGCTTGTGCCAGGTGTGAAGTTCTCGGCCGAGAAGGCGCCGCCGTTGAGTTTTACACAGACGTTGTTCTGTGAGGAAACTGATCCAGCCAAGACCGCTAAGGGGACATCTCCCTTCACGTAGGCACCGTCGGACTCTAGAACCTCAACCTTGTCAATGACGATCCAGTTCCCCTCAGCAAGTATTGAGTATTCATAGGAACCTGAAATCATTGGGAGAGACACCTGCCCCGACGAAGAATTATTTAACAAAAACTCCAACCTGGGGGCATTGAATTTGAAATTGAATGCCGTCTTCATGATGACACCCTCTGATGACTCGGTCTCTGATGAAATATCCCCGGTTTCTCGCACGAATGCCGGGTTTCCCTGACGGTCCTGGTACTGCATATACAATTGCTCGTTGACTTGCTGCGCTGTCATCGAAAACACGACGTCCCAACCTGCACACACGGACTTACCAGACATCATTTTCAAGACTTCGTCCTTGCTTACGTTTGTTGTACGTGCGCCTCTTCGCTTGGAGATGTCTTTCCCTGAAACCTTGCTCAGGTATCTTCCTCCGGGCTTGGCTTTCTGTTTTCCTTCTGGTAAGATGCCCTTATACTTGGCCTGCTTAAAAACAGGGTGACTCGTCCTTAAGCCACGGGAGATGAGAAGATCATGAGATCTCATAAATATCTCCTTTGGTGTCAAACCCGTTTCTTTAAGCTGTGCAAAGATGTGAAAAATGAGACGCACGGTCACGCCACCTGGAAAGTTGTCGAATTGTATTCCTTCGTTGCTTGATGTCGCAGGCAAAGAGACTTTCCATGTGGAAAACGGTGTGATCTCAGATATGTTGTCAAAAGAACGGTCACCGAAGATGGCCAGACGCATAGAAGGTTTGAACGTTTTTGCAGCCTGCAAAGGTGGCACGTGGCTGCTAGAGCTGACTTCGTGGAGCCCTGTGAAGATCCGTGAGACCGTTTGAAAGGTCAGGGGTTCCCCATTGAAACCTCTGTCAAAGAATGGCTTTCCATCAAAAACTAGCTCAGTGTAGTACTTGCCGCTGTTGGTTGACTTTATCCCACCTATCTCTACTTCAACCTTCTTCACTCGGACGTAGTTGAAAAAGGCGAACTCGCGTCTGTTCATCTGGATGTCGAAGGAATGGGCTTGGTTGTTGGTTATGGTGTTGGGGTTGACACCATGGATCTCGTAGAAGATTGGATGCTCGTAGTCCATAGGTGGCGGCTGGACCGTCATGCCTTCATTGATACTCTGGGACTGCTTCACCATGGTAAGCTGAAGGTTCAGCATCGTGAAGGACCCGATAGGAGTAGGTGGTCGTATGTATTCGTACTGTAAGCCCCTGTCTTGAATCATCACAGTGGAAGCCAGTGTCATCAGCATCTGTCGTTGAAATAGCAGCAGCTGTCCAGATAGACCAATCAAATCAACTTTTGGAACTTCTAACTCATCGGGTTTGGCATCCAGAACCACTTTAAGCTCTTCCAGACGTTTCTGCTGCTCCTCGCTTAGTTGAATCTTCATATTAAGGGAAGACAGATCAGCAGAAATTTGTTGAATCGTAGCTTGACACTCCATAAGCGCTTTCCCTCTAGCGACGAGAATATTAAAAGCACCACCAAGAATGTACCGTTCGGGGACAGGTGGTCCAGATCCTAATGTAGCATCCATATTCATCTTCAACTCATCCCATTCCAAGGTTGAAGGCATCTGCACTCCATTCAGGCCTATATCTTGCAAGGCGTCTACCACTGCTTGTGGATCAGAGGGGAGTGGACCAAGAGACTCGTATGCTTTCATTACAACGTCGAAAGCCTTCATGGCATCCTGTATTTTCTGCACAGTCACTTCCATTTCTTTGAGGGCATCGATGGCATTGCCAGGGGCTTTAAAGATGAAGTCGATCTTAAACAACTGTTCAGCGACATCAAAAGCTGCTTTGAGCATCTCCTTATCCTGCCAGTTAACAACTGCTTTTTTATATTTGGCAACCTCGTCCTTTACAATATTCCTCTGGCCTTCCAAGCTGGAGCGCAGTTCCTTTTCGCGGTCAGCAGCCATATCTAATTTCTTCTTTTGATCCTCGAAGATTGAGGAAAACATGTCGGCAATGCTTCCCTGGTAGCTTGCCTGAGCAGATATGTAGTCGCAGAGAAGCTGGCCGGTTTTGATGATGTTTTCATTCAGGGCATCCAGATTGTCGATCAGTCGCTCTTCTGCCTTCCGATCCCGGATCTGCTCTTGATAGCTGGAAAGCTCATAAGAGGCTGTATTGAGAACATTTTGGACGTTGTTAACGACATCTTTGTAGGCGTCGTACTTGAGGTAAGGCACAGGCACACCAGCGCCCATTGGGTTGGCTGCCACGGTTGCCAGTTGCAATGCTCTTGCCTGCACAGCTGCAAGCTGCTCATTTGCAGCGGTGCCAGACTCACCACCAGCCACAGCAGCAAGCCAATATAGGTAGCGTTTCATCAACTCCATACTCGGGTCGTCCTTGGAGTATTCCGCAAAGAGGAAGTTCAAGCGAGCTTCAGCTGCGACGAGACCAAACTGGAGGTCCACTACCCTCTCTAAGGCCACTTCCTGTGAGGGCGAAACGCGGACATCTCCTGGAATAGACACTTTACCTTTGGCATACTCAAAAATCAGGCCATTCATGATTACAAAGAACTGGCCACTAGTTACACAACTTACTCGGAGCCCACCGTAAAACTCACCGGAGGAGATCCGCCCCTTGATAGCCTTGTACGCAGATTCGCTGAGCAAAAGATTTGGAGGAACGGCAGAGGTCCCGCCCGACGAAAAAATGTGACCGAAAAGGGTGACGGTTGACGAGCCATTGACCTGGACATCTGGGAATTCTTGTGGATTAGGCACCTACAAAAAAAAGGAATATAAATTATTTAAATTCTCATTGCAAACAATAATTGTAAGTTGCTAAGAGGCGACTTGACTTAACGTTGGTTTGAGTTCAACACCGATGCTACTGAAATAACAAGTCATATATCCTGCCATATAGTTTTACTTATACGTCGAACAATCTCAAAGCGCCTACTATGAGATTTTTTTTTCTATAGACAAATCTGGTGAAAGCCATTTTCTGCGGTGGTGTAGGGTTTGCGTAACTCGCGCTGAGGCAGGGCTCGCGTGCTCTGGGCTCATTCGACCATTAGGTATACCAAAATGCGCGAGTGCCCCGTCTTTAAGAGTGCGTGCAGCATGCGCGTGAGCGTGACACCTCCGTAGTAAAAGCTTCTTATTCTTGTCGCCAGATTCCATGTTATAACTATAACTTTGTCCGTCAAACTAATTCTTGAGCTTTCGTTGTCCAATAACACGATTTGGTCTGATTGGAACTCAGACGTACCCTCACTGTCACCACAAACTGACACTCATGTGCGCGCGCGAGTGAGCTGCACGCGCGCGTATGTCAGTGGCGTGTCAAGTGGGGGGGGGGGCACTCCCCCGCCCCGGCGGATTTTTTGACATTTTGTTTGTCACGAATGATTTTACGGAGGGCAACTGTCCGGAGAAGAAAAAAAACATGTCTACATTTCGGCGCGGATGTGCGGTTGCCCCCCTCCCCCCCCCCCCCCCCCCCCCCCGATATCAAAAGCTTGATACGCTGCTGGCTTATGTACAGATCCGGGATATTTTGGGTTTCACGAACTGACATCCTCCACAGTGTGGCACCTTCAGAGCGCACCCCGTACATTTTCGGTTTCACGAACTGACACTGATTTTAATTTTACTTATTAAAACGCTTTTTAATTAAAATTGTGTATAATCACACAAGTACATGGGTGGATTAAATTCGCAAATCTTTCAAACCGGTTTCTCCGTTCTGTATTACCGCAGCATGCTTGTGTGTCAGCTCGTGAAAACAAAAATCTGCCTTTATTGCGTCAATGTCGATGAGCGCCAGCACTGTTTTATCCAGGCCGATAAATGTTTCAATTTAGAGGCACATGGAATCATTTAATGCGTTGGTCGCACCACGAAGCAACGTATCGCGTGCATGCAGTTTGACTTGACGTCGTCGTGTCGTCATCACATGTCATGTTCATCACATGTTTCATCGATGAAATGTAAAATGTTGTCGTCATGTCATGTACGTACGACACGTGTATCATGGATGAAATTTGAAGTGAAGTCCTCATGTTGGCATCAAATCCGACATGAAGTCCATGACATGATGTCATGTACTTCACGTGTGTTATTGATGAAATTTGAACTGACGTCGTGCTGTCGTCATCACGTCACGTTTCTCACACATATGATATCGATCAAATTCAAACTGTCGTCGTCATGTCATCATCATTTCATGTGTGTTTCATCGATACATTTTAAAATGTCGTTCTCATTTTGTCATGTACTTTCCATTTCTTTGCTAATGAAATTTGATCTGAGGTGGTCATGTCGCCACATGTCGTATTCCTGAAATCGGAAGTATAAAAAGTTGTCATTCCCACGTTGTTATCATGGTATCATGAACGCCACATGTTTTATCGATGAAATATGTACTGTCATAAACTCATTCAAACAGCCGAAAACAGCTCGTGTTTGTCCACAAAACTTAATTCACGGGCGTTGGTAGGTGGGGGAAAGGGGGGGGGGCTTGCCCCCTGGAAAGGCAAAAAAATAAATAATAATACTACTAATAAAGGAAACAAAGGAGAAAAAGAAAAAGAGGCGCTAAATCATATTGCTGTAAATTAGATGGGGGGGGGGGGGAATGTCCCTGCCCCCCTCTAAAAATGATAAATCGAGAATATGTTGCGAAATACAGAAATTATTTTGGAAACATATGTTTTCCCCCTCTAGAAAAAAATCCTGGCGACGCCCATGGGTCATTTTTGTTTGTTTCATCTATTTTGGTTTACTCCAGAAAAGAATAATACCAGCTGAGTTGTAAGTTAAACGAGTACGGTTAAGGTTTTGAACATTTGTCGCTGGATTTGAATAGTTGCTTCATTGGAAAGGACAGTCAGATAGGTCCAAAACATAGTCAAACACTTTTAAAACAAACGCTGCAGGTACTCACCACCTCAATTGCGTTTGAGAACACACTGAATGTCTCCACCAGTTCTGGAAACTGAAGGTTGACCTGGCTCAACTCCACACGCTCCTGGAAGATATTGACCACCGGCGTGGCGAGAGTGGACAGAAGACCATCGCCGCTTATCGGGTTAGAGTCCTTGTACACCTCTTGTAGATCATAGGGGCAGTTGTTGCTGAGGTAGGGCGCTACATCAACGCCATTTGCGTACTTGGCGTACATGGCTGCCTTGAAGATGCGCCACCAGATCAGCATACGGTAGTACTCAGCATAGACTGACAGAGAAGCCAACTGAGTAGAGATGACTGTCACCTTCTGCAAAGTTTCGTTGATGTTGATGCCTTCTGAAGGCCCAACGTAAGGGATGAAGATGCTGTTGGTACCAGAGTACTCTGTGTCAAGCCAGAGACCATCTGCCAGCGACTGCGCCATCGCAGGATCACCACTTTCTATTCCAATTGTGCCAGCAGCTTCAGTATAGCCGTAGCCAGCTTCATTTTTGGGTGTGGTGAAGATGACAAAAGATGGCGCACTTGGTCCGGTCAGGTAGTCCAGTTGGTCGGCGTAGAACTCTGAGATCACCTTGAATTCGGCCTCGGCGTAGGCGAAAACCTGGTACAGGGAGTCACCGGCCTGGATGCTGGAAATGAAGTGAGAGCCAAAAGTCTCGTAGAAATTCAAGTACCCCTTAGCGCCTTCAATGCTAACAAGGGTCGGGTCCTCCGTCTTCTCTAGAGCCTTGAGAGCCTCCATAGCTTCAGGTCGAACGACCCCAGGCTGGATACGAAACAGCCCTTTCTCGTAAGACGTGTATGTTGCTTTCCCAACTGTGCGTGTGCGTCGAACGAGGGCGTAGGACAAGTCATTATTGCTGAGGTCAACACCGACTTGACTAGACAACTTCTGAAGCGCCTCGGCTCTTTCATCTGGTGTCAGTCCTGCGAGAATCAAGGCACCAGATGGCCAGGAGGGAAACCCTCCACCTTCGCTGGGTTTGCCCTCGGAGGCCCTGGGGCGAAGCTTGACCTGCACGAGAGCACTCAGAAGACTTTCCGTGTTCCCGTGCAGCGTGATGGTTGGCCAGTCCCACTTGGCATCAAGATCGGGCTCCTTCAGCCGGATTTGGCTCTCGTATAGGGCGGGTTTGCCCGGATCGTTGAATGGCGCCGATGACACATTTGCTTGGAAGCCAGCGAGGAGTCCTGTGGACTGTCCAAGTTGAAGGTGCGTGTCGACGTTCATTGTGGTGTTTTGTTCTCTAAGACGACGTTAATGGACGTTGCAGCTGTACACCTGTGGTAAGTCAATCAAAATGTTGGAAAGAAAAGGAGAGTGTTAGCAATACTTCACAAATTTTGTATCAATCTTCAACGATTGGGAAATAATTTCTGTTGATAGGACAAGCATTACAATAAGAATTTTGAACTGCACATTCCTCGGCACTATGATGCTTTAAAATTTCATGACGTCAAACAACGTGATGCAATAATGTGTGCGTACATAAGTGAATCCGATGGCTGGCAAAAATAATTTTCTCGATTTTGCACCAAATAATTTCAAGTGACCTCTTATACAATACATGTACATTAACATCATGTGGGTTGTGATTGTTTTAAAGACTGAGTCGCAAAAGGATAGTATTGTATGAGTTTAATTCTTGTACACGTCACGGGTCTGACCCCCCCCCCCCCAGTGTCGTCACCGTTTTCACAAAGGGACGGGCATGTGGAGTTTGAAAAAAACCCAACTGTTTTCGAGATAAGTGAAAGAGAAGTTTCTCTGTTTTTTTTAACTGCAAAAGCTATACCTTGCAACAACTTATGCAATAAGGTAGCCTTAACATAATTCTTTGATAACTACATTTTTATTGCTCTTCCCTTCATGAAAACGAAAATATCAGTTGACACTTTTACGCCTGTCAATGCAATATGTTTTGTGCGTGTGGGTGGTCAGGAATGTTCACGTCTCTTCATGAAACCGCAAAATACCATTATCGAGATGCCTGCCCCTGTCGAAACATGTCGGAATGCTTATAAGTAACATACTTTAAAGTAAAATAGTAAAACACAAATCTAAATGAAAAAAAAAACCCAATGTAAATATTGACATGCCCGTCCCTTCTTGAAAACGGTGACGAATTCTTGTCCCAAAGTGCTTGCTCTCTTATCACAATCTAATCCTTTTGTTATTAAATCAACCACGGCCAATCAGAATATAATAATCTTAGTCAACAGGACACACATTGCCGTCATTCCAATGCTGACTGCAGACGAGGAAAACCTTTTTTAATTTGGCCTTCAATCGAGGCAATATGTTCTTCTTTTGATTTCCACATCTCACAATTCACTGATTTCAACGACTGTTTACGTGTACACATGCAATTATTTTAGTAATCTTGATTGTTAATAGTGCACCTCTTACAAAAAGAGATTGATCACGCGCGATTTACATGCATGTGTACATATGTATATACAGTTTCGAATAATCCTTCATAAACCTTTACCGGTTTAGATTTAAAGAAAAAATCATAAAAAACCTAAGACAGTTTACCCATTCCCATTGGTTGAGAGCCCGTCACGTGGCCGGTCTTAATTGGAGGATAAAGACATGGCTAAAGTACCGAATGAAGAATTACGTCATTATTTTCCAACGACCAATTAGCGAGGCCCTTCTGTCATGGTGCGGTGAATGGACCAATAACGGGTGCTGTATGTAAGAGCATGCGCATGCGCGTAAGCATTATTAGACATTCGTTCGTAGCCCCCGCCCTGCAAACAGGACGCTGGGATACTCTGATGAATTCACGCTCTGATCGGTTGGATTTTGCGTGATCAGTGACCTGCGCGTCATCAAGGTCATGACTCTGCAAGGTTTGAAACGGCCGTTAAAGGGGCGCTAGGTCCTGAAATCCCCGAAAATGTTATGTTTTGGATTGTTTACTTAGCCTATTTCAAACATCTGGTTGAAAGGAAACCAACCTAATGTCTTACCGTTCTCGAGAAAAGACGGAACAAACGCTTGTTTACGTCGGACACGACGGAGTACTAATACGTTTTTCGTGTCGCTCTCAGTGTACGCTATACACGTTGTGTGTCTCGGCGGGAACAGCGCGCGGTGACCAATCACCAATGCAAAATATTGTGGTTTTTCAACGTCCGCAAAAGGCGAACACTTTACGCGTACGAATGAAATCACAACTAGCATCCAAACAGCTCGAATTTATGGGGTCGCAAAAGTGGACCCCGAAATTCGTTCTCGCACGCATAATACAGGAATAACACAAAAACACCCAGTTTTGAAGGATATTTGTGTGGATGTTTATATCCTACTTTTAAATGTTATTTCCGATTATCATCATCTCGTTCAAAGCGCGTTTTGTAGCCCAATTGGGATGTTTCAGGACCCAGTGTCCCTTTAAGACTAATTCATTACTCTTTTATTCCAGTTTAGATGTTATTTTCTCGTTGGAAAGCGTAATAATGTAGGTGATTCTGTAAAACTTATCTGTGTTGTAAATTTACAATTCCCGTAACTCGCTTAGGCTCCGTTTGGAATCACGAATGGTCGGATCGCATGACGCGACGCTCAAAATGTTTTCCACATAGCCATGTTCCGCAATGAAACAGAAATCACATCCGGTATGGAATGTGCGCAATTCTGTGGGAAGTTTTCGGATAGCATTTGCGCACATTGTTTAACTGCGGTCTTGAACAGCTGCAGCCAGATGCTTTATACATAGGTCATACATTCACAAGATGCTGTGAAGCTAATCAGAGTATCCCAGCGTCCTGTTTGCAGGGCGGGGGTAAGAGCGAATTAGACAGCAAGATGGCGGCCGCCATGAGCTCGTCGGATGACGGCGATTCGGACGAAAACAGGTGCATTATGCGTGTTTCGAATGCCGAATCGAGCGTTTCATAGTTCTCCGAGACAAGCTGGATAAAATTCCTTGCTTGTGCTGGTAGTCGGAAGAATGTGGGGTGATCGACACACGCAGAAATCGTGGAGTTCATCGGCATGCAGCACTCTCGTGCAAGGAGATGTGTACCGGAATCATCGGCCTACGTTAGTTTGTATTAATTATTCTTGCCTGAAACCTAATTATGAGAAGCCGTTGGATTCGGCATATTTCAGAATATTGTTTTTCTACAACCTAGATTCATATGATGTGTGATTTGTTTTGTAAAACATGTTACTAGTACTGTGGAGGATTCGGCCATATTATGACCATCATTGTTGACATCATGATCATGGTTGACAGTGCAAGGTTAGAAAAAGCCACAGATCAAAGAATTGTTTCCCCTCACAAGGAAGAGACGCTTACATTGCACTACAGAACATTTTATATTGAGTAGGACTATGCTTCCTGACTTGGCATCATTGGGGATTGTGTAGTATGTTATGGGTCTTCCATTCAATTTAAGCCACAATTTTCTCAGTAATAATTTATAATTATCTAAGTACGAAGTCGTTAAAACCAACAGTTTGCCATTCCTTAAGCTGGCAGCTCATAGCGTCCGCATTTCAACTGTACTTTTATTTCCCTGCTATTTTTTTTCTAGATAGAATAATATAATCAAAAAAATAATGAGAACCTGTCCACTTCTCTAAATGTCAAGCCCTTTTTTCCCCCTTTTTAAATGTTTTTTCCCCTGATCACTATACATGTGAAGAATAGTATACACATAATGAATGTTTGTATCTGAAGGTGCCATGGTGTAAATTTTTCCTAAGTTGAATGATATAATGTTCCATTCTACGAGGTGAAGCTGACTTGAATGGAACATTTCTCTTTGACCCATAATCCTTCAATCAACTGACAAGGACTTACATTGTGAAATAATTGAAATAAGAGTAATGAGTGATATTTTAAAAACATTTTCTTTATTACAGGCATTTGAATACCATCAACACATTCAGCAGTGCTACAAACGTATCTGTGATGTTTCCAGGATAGACCGTGCAGAAAGACTTGCAAAGAAACGACAACATGAAAGTCAAGGTATTTGTGCCTTTTTTTCTATGGAGTCGCATGAGCACTCTCACTTGAAACATATAACATGTCTAAAGCAGGGGCTGGTTGGAGAAAGAGCCTTCCTCTACACAACTTTAGTTGGAGTCAAGGTTTCATAATTTTGTAGCTACATCAAATTGAAAAAAAACAAGCCCTACTTTAGAATTGACAATCTCTGGGAATTTGTTTTTCGTACAGTTTAAAAAACATTTCATTCATTGCTAATGTTTATTTCTCAAGTTAAAACATGCAGTTCCTGTTGCACAATAAGAAAATGCAATTTGCAATTAAAAATTGCTGTCATTTAAGAAAGGGATTTTTCTCGTAATTTGACAACTTTCAGATACAACATGTTCCAGGTGGGAACTATGATGGAGTCATTGATACCGCCAAACAAGGATGCCTTGCACCTGCACGTAAATAGGGCTAACTACCAGGCAGCCATATACAAGCGGGCCCTGGTCTAGTCTCCACACAGAGGATGGAAGGTCATCGGCGATGACATCATTATCCACTGGATGGATCTTCCCCCTGCCCCAGACAGTGTCATGAAATTTGCCCATTGCTCATGTAAAAAAGTCAATGTACAAAAGGCAAGTGTAGCTGTCTCGAAAAGAAACTGCCATGCACAGACTTGTGCAAGTGCACCAACTGTGAAAACATTCCAAGTGAAGGGCAGCGCACTTCAACCGAAAGTGATGATTCAGATATAGCGGATTAACTAATGTAAAAACTGACCATCACGTACATGTTTGTCTATCTAAATAAGGAATAAGATTGTCACTTCAGAAAGTTTGAATCACACAGTCTGCTTCCCATCCACTTAAATATTTCCAAATATGAATCAATATGACTTATGTTTAACTAACTTACATTGTTATGGATGTACACAACTAACAAAACACCAAATTTCAGTCTTACGGTTGAAATGGACTCCGTTGACTTTGTTGCGGGATTTTTCCACTTGCAGTTTCAGCAAGGGGATGGGAAATTATGTTACTGTGTGTTTTCCTTTTTTGTCAATCCTTTTTTTTGAGCGCTGACCGTGAAGCCAAAGAAGTTTTTTTGTGGTAATGTGTAAGGGCTTAAAACAGTTTATTCCTTTTCGGTAATGTTCATGCTTACAGTCTTATTTGTTGTTGATCAAATAGACTCTATAAATACATGCTTGAGAGCTTTTTGTAATAATTGTAATTCCTTTTTTTGGGGGGGGGGTGCAGAAGATTGTCCTCCAAGATGCTACGCAAAAGGCCCAAAAGGATCTAGGTTGATGCCTTTG